CAGCAGTGTGTACTATTTACAAGATGCATGGCAGAAATTCGCCAAAGATCCTTAGACAGCACCTTCCAAAACCACATCAGTGCCATTTAGAAGGTCAAGGGCAGCAGATAAGTGCGAACACCACAACTGGTAAGATCCCGTCCAAGCCACTCACCATCCTGACTTGGAAGCCTATCACTATTCCTTCGCTATCGCTGGGTCAGAATCCTGGAATTCCTTCCGTAATGGCATTGTAAGTCTACCTATAACACATGGACTACAGTAGTTCAAGAAGGCCACCTTCCTATGGGGGCAACTAAGGATGGGCAATAAATGCCAGACCAGTGAATAACACCCACATCCCATGAGTGAAGGAAAAAAAATCATGCTACTATTACAGGTGAGGAGGGGGATCTTCAATCTTTTTTTTAACTCCTCTTGGTTGGTTGCAACAAATACTTTTATTAAACTTTTTAGAATCTAACTATCGCACTTCAGTTAAACTAGGTTATCAAACATGAAGGAGAGCCATCTTTAAGGTTTTCTTGAGTGAAAGGGAGTGGACCTTTATTACTGATTAAAGCTGAGGAAGATATATTAAAAACAATAGCAAACACAGAAACACGGGTAATATGGTGAAGCTTTTAAAAGAAAGGAGATGGGGGGGAGGTGTGTTGAATACAGAATGGATAATAACAGCAAATACAGTGAATGAAAGGACCTGAGTGTCACTGTTTCGCTATTGTTTTTGTTTCCTCTGTAATGGTGAAGCTGCAGACTGCCTGGAGTTCAGAGTGAATGGTTATTGTTGTTCCATGGTTTTAAGCAGGCAGTTTCTGAGCTTGAGGGATATTGACAGTGAGAAAATGAAAGAAGAATTTTCATTATCCTTGTTGTTATTAATCTATGTTGCTTTCTGTCTTCTTTGCTGCTCACAGACTGCTGTTGATATACTGTTTCTGTGCGGATTCTGGTGTTTGTGGCATTATTTCATTTAAAACTGGATGGTTATAGGCAACATTTCATCTCCCAATATGTGACAATATGATTCAATTGTGAGTAAAACAAAGCATGCGAATTTCTTGACACCTCATGGAGTTTCAGTGCCTCTTGGTAAAGATAACAATTCTGATGCAGCCAGTACTGTATATTCTATGTGGGTTGCCTGGGCTTGTCAGGACACAGCAGGCATTTTAAGTCAGTCTCTTTTTTAAAACCATTTTTAGTTCATGAAAATTTCAGAAATTCAAATCATAACGAAAGTTGAATGTTTATAGTCACTACATTGTATCAATATGTCATACACTTTTAAAACAATTTTTGTTCATGTAATGTGGCCATCACTGGGGAGGTGAATATTTATTTCCCATCCCTAATTGCCCTGGAGAAGGTGGTGTTAGCTGTGTTATGACGCACTTAGAGAAAGTGTGTAGATTCTCAAGCCTCACTACTCTCTGGGTCACCACAAAAGTTAATGATTTAATCACCTGATTTATCTGTCTGATGGAACCAAGTTAACAGAAAGCACTGACCAGGTTCCCATACTTGGCAAGAATTATTATTGTAAATGAGTAAATTCTAATCACAAGTACAAGGCTATGAATTATCAACATATATCACTTGCAGCTAAACTTTAAACGCTTTTTAAAACCACACAGACGCGCAGACAAACAGACACACACACATTTGGTTTTATGGAGGAGGGGAAAACATCCTTCAAACCATAGCTCAAGAGACCTAGTCCACCGGATTCGCTGAGATGATCCTTCTGGATCATTTTGAAGACTCCAACCAGTAATCAGTAGGAGGAAATAACTAGCTTTCCTCAGATTTTAGGTATTTTTACTGCAGAAACAGACACACAAATTCTGTCCTTCCTGCAGTCCAAAGGCTTTCCCACTGTATTGTTTACACCCACAAGCAGCTCAGAGAACTTTTCGGGTGGATGACCTTTGGCATTTACAACTGGTTTGTGCAATAGTGACCAATCAGCTTCCTACTTCCAGCCAAATTCCAAATACTATGCACTTTCTTGATGCTGGGCCGTGTACAAATAGCTTCCCCACTGCTTGGACGAAGCAGCAGTGTAAACACCAGCAGTAACTTGTTTTCAAAACTGTGTCAATTCCTTCCAGATCCCTTGATTTTAAAATAGTCCTTTTTACATACCAGTCCATGATCAAAAATACATAAAAGAAAATGATACCAACTTTACAGCTACCTGCAATCCTTCAAGAAATCCAAGAACACAGTTGGAAGCTGGTGCCATTGCTGAAAGCTACATGGACAGGTGTGAAAGTAGAAGTGGGATTTAACTGTACATAGTTTGTGAAGTTGTGGCAAGAGAGAATTACGAGGAGCTACATCAGTGAGGTTGGATCACATGGAACTGGGACCTGACGGTACAATGCTCTAGAGAAGCTCTTCTCTATCATGATTCTGGATATAGTTTGAGGAGTGTTACTAGTTTGCACTATCACTGGTATCCAGGCCTTATCTATCCCAAGCTCCTAGGAGATGCAAATGATATTTATGCACAGAAGACTTGTGAAGTATTTAATGGGACTGATATTTGGAACAAAAAACAAAAATCTGTAAACCAACTGACCCGTGCAAACAGTATTGGTACTGATTTTAGATAGTGTGGGGCATCCACAAAATGCTATACACAATTTACAACTTTGAATTTTTTGCAGTCTGGGAAAAGAAGGCACATTTTGTCAAAGCTTTTCATTTCACACTCATCAGGACAACTCACAAGAAATACTAAAAAAAAGGGAAAGCAACTTTTATACTAAATTAGTGCAGATGTTTGTTTTCACTTTATTTATATTCTCACACAATGTCCTGACGAGTGCAAGACAAAAGCTTTAACAGAAGTTGCCTCTTTTCAGCAATACTCAACATCTATATTACCAACTATCCATTCTGGAAACTTCTTAAAAACAACTGAAATCTTTTGTGATGATGAAATAACAGAATGAGTTTTGGGTCTTTTCTTGACATTAAGACACTTCATTGATATGTAATGGACAATGAAGAAGGTTTTCTCGGAGTATGTCAGGATCTTTACCAGATGGGCCGAGGAGTGGCAGATGGAGTTTAATTTGGATAAATATGAGGTGTTGCATTTTGGTAAAGCAAACCAGGGCAGGGCTTACACACTTAAATGATTGGGTCCTGGGGAGTGTTGCCAAACAAAGAGACCTTGGGGTGCAGGATCATAGTTCATTGAAAGTGAAGTCACAGATAGACAGGGTGGTGATGTCTGCAGTCGAGCAAACTGAGCTCTACATTTGGCTCTTCAGTACTGGACCATAGATTTCTTGACAAAAGACCAAATGGAGCTGAAAGTGAGGAAATCTCACACCAATGCATTAGGGAGCATTCTTTTACATATTTATTAACATCATCAAGGAAGAGTTGAGGAAATTTTACTCTGCATCTTGACTATCCTCTCCTGACTTACTAATGGCTCATCCTGATAGGAGATTCTAGAAATGTGAAAATACTGTGTTCCTCTTCATTAGCATTAGTGGCATCAATGAATGTGAAACCTTTAATGTTCAAAAAAGAGAGTTTGCACATATGAAACAATAAATTATAGCCAGCTGTGTGTGTGAATACTTGTGAAAGAGCTGCTGCAACTCAGTAACATGTGGAAAATCTGCACCAAAGCAATATGTTTGATTTTATTTGTTAATTGCAGGATAACTGAGAATCCTTTCTTTAATTCTTCCATGGAATGTGAGTATTACTGGCATTTATTGCACATTTTTAATTGTCCTTGGGAAGATGCTGGTGAACAGCCTTCTTGACCCACTGAAGTTCATATATGTAGCAATAGTTCCATATCAAAATGGCATGTGGTTTGGAGTGAAATGTAAAGATGGTAATGTTCCCATGCATCTGATATTCTGGACATTCTGTGCGGTAGAGATGTCTTGTTTGGAATGTGCTGTGAAGGACAGTTTGGTGAGTGTTGCAATGCTTCTTGTAGATGATGCGCACTGCTGCCTCTGTGCAAACGTAGTGAAGGGAATGGATGTTTAAGGTGCTGATTAAATCAGCTGCTATGCGCTGGATGGTGTCAAGTTTCTTGAATACTGTTGGAGACTTATTAGTCCAGGTAAAAGAAGATCATTCCATCGCACTACTGACTTGTGGTTTGATGGTGTCATGTTAAAGGAAGTCAGGAGGTGAGTTATTTGCCATAGAATTCCCAGCTTCTGTTCTTCTCTTGAAGCCACAATATTAAATGTCGGGTTTAGGTAAGTTTCTAATCTATTGTAACCAATGGTTGATGATTAGGAATTCAGTAATTGTAAAACTATAAATATCAAGAGAAGAGGGTTACATTTTCTGTTTTTAGAGATAGTCATTGCCTGACACTTGGCATGAATATTACTTGCCGCTTCTCAACCCAAGTCTGAATGTTATCCAAGTCTTGCTATGTCTGAGCATAGACTGCTTCACAGTCTGGAGAGTTGCAAATGGTACATAGTATTTTGCAATCATCAGCAAATACCTTTCGATTATATAATGAACAGTACGGTCACTGAAGCTGCTAAATTTAGTTGAGCCTAAGACACAATTCCAAGGAGCTTCTGCATTGATGTGCTGGTACTAAGCTGATTAGTCTCCGATAACCACAACATCATGCTCAGTGTTTAAAATGACTCCAACGAATGGAGAGTTTTCCACTAATTCCTACATTATCATTAGTCCCCATTGCATATCCTCCAATAATCACTAAATCATTTTTCATATTGTAGCTTGAATGCTTGATATGTCTAATGAAATGTTATAAATATAATGTAAATGCTTTAAACTGTGGGATGGTGATATGGATACTATTTCACATTAAGAATACATTTCTCATTGTACATATATTTTCAAATGTTCCTTTTATTCAATGAAAGAGGACAGAATGGTAGGAACAGTGTTTAATAATCTCCGTCCAACATTGACTCTTTAATTCATACCTGCTATTGAAATGTTGGTTCAATATTTTCTGGCAGACAGATGCAGCCCTGATGTACGATGCAGTGTACGTCGTATCTCTAGCTTTTCGGAAGGCATTTCAAATGACAGTCAGCTCTTTACAGTGTCATAGGCACAAGCCCTGGCGCTTTGGATCCAGGTTCATGAACCTCATCAAAGAGGCAAGTAAACTGTTTATCTTCAGTGATTTATTTTTCTCAGTGGAGATTTATTTCCCACCTCAATGCATTTGTTTGAACAGTTGGAGGATCAGTAAGAGTGGGACAGCTTCAGGTTTCACACCAGTGAATCTAGTAATACTTGCACAGGAAAAAAAAGCACATCTCCAGCTTATTAACTTACCCCTCTATTTGAAACAAAGTACTAATGAATGGCTACTGTTGTGGTTTGGCAACATGCCAGAGTACCACTGGTTATGCATCGCTGTCAGTTTTAATTTCCACTGACTTTCGCTTGTCTCTTAAGCAAACCTGTCTTGGAAAAGCATACAAATGAATAAATACATTCCAATGTAAATAAGGAGAGATTTTAACGAATGAGTAAGTTTTGTATATTGATAAGTAAATAATACCAATATTGCAATGGGTTTTCCTCTTCATTGCATTTGAGGTGTAGGAAAGAAGAGGCAAGGTTTGAGAGGTTTTGGATTAGGTCTACCACATCGCTACACTATCCAACGACTTTTATGAGTAAAACTTCTCTGTCCAGGAAGGATTGCACAAAACGTGTTGGAAATTTAATTCGATGCCTTTTTGTCTTTTCCCCTGAGGGCACCCAAATGCAATCTTTCAAATAAAGGTTGGCTGTGAGAACTCCACTATTCCTTACGTAGACTTGGGATCTGAAGGATTGTCAAAGTCAGTTCCCTTTGTCTAGCAGCACTATCCTCCAGGCTCAGAACCTTCTGGTAGTTCTAGAAACTGGTAGAAGGCTCCGATGAGAAGCCAAGAGAATAGCTGTAGACCTCTCAGGCCTGTAGCTCTGTTCCTGCATCTGCCCCATCTCCACCCCAATTCCAACACACGGCCCATAGGCTACCAAATTCTGGGTGATTCAGTGTATTTTGCTCCAAGCTAACTGAGACCTAGTGGAGATATTGACTTCTGTGAGTCATTTGATAAAATTGTTCAGCTAATTTACTGTATTACAGCAATAGGTGAACTAACAGAGAATCCCAGGTATCCAGGAAGAATCATAATAGGAGATCTGATGCAATTTTGTAAAAATATATTTTCAAATATAGCTCGGGTGTAGTGTTATAGACTACAGAATACCTTAGATTATACACTTGCAATTTACCAAATATTTGGCACTATGTTCTGTTGTAATTATTTAGAGATTACAGCATTTATAAAAAACATTTTCGGCAACAAATTGCTGGATTTAATCTGGACTTGATGTCTCATTGTGTTTTGTTTTTATTTTTCTTTGGCTAAGTTTACAATTGATTCTCGACTGGTAGTATTGCAAAATCTGAAGGAAAAATTTTCATGCTAAAAATGTAACAAGTTATTCAGTATGTATCCCACATTAAAGAGTAATTTGTTTTTCAGCAATGGCCTAAATTATTTGAGTTGTTGGTGGTGCTGTGGACATTTCGTGCTGAGCTTTTATGTGACTGGCATTCAAACCTTGAGCGCAAGTTATTATCACAGGGAATGTATTCTGTTCAATTCTCTACCTAATTTTGAGCTGAAGGGGTTGATGCCTATTAAAGTAAGGTACATGGGTGCCAATGCAATCTATTTCCAACACATTTATTTCTATACCATTTGAGATGGAAGCAGCCCAAGCGCTTTCTTATGGCAAAAAAGGTTAATAAGAATGAAAAACCCATCATGCAAACATACATTCCAGAATAAAGAGAATGATGATAATGTCTGCATAGAACATTCCAAGTAATTTCTTTTATGATTTTTTTTGTCTCAGCTAAATATTGATGTCTGAATATTGAGCCAGGTGCAAATTGAATGAGCTGACCCCAAGGCTCTAGTTACGAATTTGCACTTACATTCATCATGCTCATAGCTCAGACATTGATGCTAAGTTTCAAAATGTATCCCTCTGTACCATTACAGTGTAAGCTGATACTTATTTGGGGACTTATAATTTGTACAAACAATGCATATGAATGATTGTTTATCCCCGTTCTTCAATATGGTGACAAACAAAGTGAAATTGAATGTACTTTTGTAATATTGCCCCTTAGACACAGTGGGATGGCCTGACAGGACGTATTACCTTCAATAAAACTGATGGTCTACGGAAAGATTTCAATTTGGACATTATAAGTCTGAAGGAGGAAGGCCTTGAACAGGTAAATGCAGTGTTTCCCTTAGTAATGCAAGGATTTTTATTTGTTTGGTAGTAACACTAGGTGCGTTAAAAACATTGTGATCAATACCATATGCTTAATAACCTTGAAGCAATTCTTACTTTTCTATTTGAATGTCTTTGTCTAGGGAGGATTGTGATGTAAGAAACCAAAGTCCTTTTTTTAATCATTCACCATGTATATGTGTGTGCATGGGTTAGTTTGATTTGATTTAATAACACTCCCATTTCTCAGACAGCATATTGTGAGTTCAAGGTTCAATTTATTTCTTGTGTACATTATCTAGAGTGACACTATCTGGCAAACAGAGAGAAGACTACATTTTCAAAGGTGTCCATCAGATAAACATGCTTGTCTCTTCCAGCAGTTCAGGTGGATGCTAATATGCACTGAAAGCAGTCAAACCACAGTGTTCCCTCAATGTCCGGGCCAATATGAACTCATGATACGCGTCACCTAAAAAAATTGCTTGATCATTCTTGTGGATTCATACTGTATATAAAGTCCCCACTGCATTTATGTTTCATGTCCAGTGAAATACATGTAACTAAATAACTGCAAATCTTCCTGTTTATAGATTGCATTCTATGTTCAAAGTAGCCCTATTTAATCACTGTCCCTGTGACATAAATGAAGTATTCTTGTTTATGATAGTATTTTTTTCAATGGTACATGTGGCTAAAGTTCAGGATTGCTAATTTACCAATCCGCAACCATAATAATCTGGTAAGCTGAAAAGTCTAATATTTCCTGTAGAACAATGAAAGTTTACAGTGCTAATAACTGTGAAATACAATTTTTTAGTTTATATTCAAACTATAGGAGTACCCCTGATTTGCTTTCAGAATTTTCTGTTTTATATCTATCAGCAGTTCTGGTAGTATCTTTGGAGTTAACATTTAACATTGTATGATATTTTATCAGAAATTCTAAGGATTCTTGCTATCTCAGATAGTTGCTTGGTTAAGCATTCTTCTGGCATCAAAATTTGCTAAGCATTTGCCTGACCAGCAAACATTAAAGTAATCACCTTCGTGTGGCTTTTTTTTTTCAAGTAACATCTCTGGCTGTCATCTTTATCCAAGTTGAAAGTTTGTGGGAGAAGTGGTGATAGGGCAGACTGTCCTGTAGCCAGGAGCTTCTATTTGTGGATTTGTATTTATTAACATGCAATAACAGTCTGAGTCCATCAAAGGATCAAGGTTAGAGGGTACACAGTAACAAATAGCCAAAAGTAAGTGGAATTTATGTAACTGTTTTTGCAGGTCTGTGCACAATATTTCAAATGAAGTACTATTCACAACCTTGACACTGTGTTTGACCTGGAGGGAAACTTATGGCCCCTGTGTTCTCCATCATCAAGACTATCTCTGGAATTGAGGTCATCCCTGTTCCTGCTTTGAACACATCTGCTACTGAGAGCATCAACCAATGCTTGTTACCTCTGGACTTGACAATTGCAATGCTTTCTTGGTAGTCTCCTGTGTTTCATCCTCCATACCCTCCTGTTCCCTTACTGCTGCTTGTTTCCTAACATGCATTGAGCACTCTTGTGTTGATTGACCTATACTAGCTCCTGGTCAAATAATCCCTTGACCTCAGTGGTTGTGGTTACCATCATTACTGCTCTGATTCTAGCCATAACTACAGAATTTGACACAAAAATAGATTAGTGGGGGGGATCTTAAAGTTGTGCTGCCCACCAATCTGCTGCAGGCTGGGCTGTGAACCTCCCAAGGGCAGTCAGAATTTATTAGTTGAATGAGAACCTCTTCCATTCCACTCTCCTATCTTAAGCCTTATTCAACGTAGTGTAACTGGGTTTTTAACATCTACCTGAGTAATAACTTTTACAAAACTGCCAATTCCATCCAGAATTTTGTTTATGGAATTTTGTTAAATGTTCCCATAATGATTAGCTACTAAATTTTATATGCTAGACTGAGGGGGGAAATAATTTATATTAAAATTTGCTTTATTTTCAGCCTTTATAATTTTATTTTGTTTTATTTTATTATGTGCATGTCCCAGTTCTTAGTTTGATTTCTGTAAAATCTTCATAAATTGACTTGATTATGAATGGTTTTCATTTCCAGGTTGGCTGAATCTGAGAATTCTTTAATATGATTGGCTACTTAGACAACTGATGGCATCATTGCACCTTGACATGCGGAAGTCCAATTTAATAATTCTACACCAATTGCACATTGAGAAATTTAATGTTCCCAAAAAAAGTTTGCTTGGCTTCTCAGCTGCACATTCTTCAATGTCAAGATCACCACTGAGCACAAAATGTACCTATCCTTACTGACCAGTGTAAGAACACCTTTGACATTCACAGAACACATTGAAAAGTAATAAATTGGCACAACAATTGGCCATCATTTCTTTGATTTCTCCTTTCTGTTCTAAAACAATTGTAAAATAATTTCGCTTTAACAAGCTCCTTTATTTCTTACAAGCCTTCTCGTGGCACTCGTTATCCCTACAGTAAAGTATGGCAGAAGGTTTGTTTGGATTTCTGTTTGTGTAATTTGTATAATTTTTTTGTGTTTAGTTTAGTTCTAGTGTTTTGCATTTAGTGAAATGTTTTGTTTCCAAATTTTGAAATAAGCTCTTCTGCAGTGTACACTATTTAATCATGGCTCAGAGAGATACAGCAATTCCCAGGTTATCCTGAATGATGGAATATGTCATTCCACTTTAAAAATAATTCACTGAGAAATGTTTGTCAAGCCTACTTCTATTATTTTGTTCTGGCTGCCCGCTTTATCTCCAAAGTGTTTCACCACTTTTTCGTCTTTATGCCAACAAAGTTTTTAGAAAGAACAGCAGCAATCAGTTCTCTACGCCCATCTTTGAATACACATTTACAGATCTCTACCTTGCTGCACAAAAGCAATGTTATATAACTGCAGCTTTCCTTTGGAAGAATTCTGAAAAATCAACTGCCACTGAAGTAATTGATGCAATGTGAGAGTAACACACAAAAGAAGGATATTTAGCTATGTTGCCCACCTATCCATCAATTATTGGCTTTCCAATATGTAAAAGTTTTTTTATTCATTGATCAGCATATTTTATTGATTCCGACTTGAGCATCTCACAGGAATTAATCAGCTGTGCAGCATCAGAATATCAGATGCAATTATTGTGATCTATGTTAACCAGCAAGGAGGAGGTGCCAACTTTACACCTTTTATTATTTCCTGTAAACTTGTACTGAAGCCTAAATAGATAAAAGCTGGTGAGAATCGCTTTGTGAAAAGTGGGTTTGGGTCTTAATTCATCCATTTATATACTGTCATGTGTTGAAGTGAAAAATATCTTGTGAAATTCAGTACTGAGTTTTATTTGAAGATTATTTGATATCCTGGTTGTAGATTGGAATCTGGAATTCAAACACAGGACTTAACATGACCGACAGCCTGAAAGACAAGTCCACCAATATCACTGACTCTTTGGCTAATCGGACTCTTTTAGTCACCACTATTTTGGTAAGTTTGTTGATTTTCTTTTGAGCAAAATTGCCTTACATTATTGTACAGAAATTACAACAGTGCACACATACCAATTAAACAGTTTTAGTAAGAATTATTGTCAACTGCTGCCTATTGTAATTATGTTAAAAACTACCATCGTTTTTAGGAAGAATATAGCAATCCAGTATTAATGATATTGTTCTGAATATCTGTATTTTGGGTAAATAAAACTATAGCCTACAGACTGTGGATCAGAAACACTGAATATTAATCAGTAGCTACTACTTAAGCTAATTTGATTTAGAGATACAATATAAAATTGGTTGACCTGTTGGTTTCCTTTATTAGTAAGATTACAAACTTTAAAAATAACTTTAAGGGGTAATATATTGGAATAACCTGTGTTAATAAGTCTAATAGGTTTTAACCTCTGAAAATATTCTGAAAGAATTCATTGATTTGTTCTATTCTACAGGAAGATCCTTATGTAATGCACAAGAAATCTGACAAACCTCTGTACGGGAATGACCGTTTTGAAGGTTATTGCCTTGATTTATTGAAAGAATTGTCAAACATTCTGGGTTTCACTTATGAAGTTAGACTCGTGGCTGATGGAAAATACGGGGCACAGAATGAAAAGAGCGAATGGAATGGAATGGTTGGAGAACTCATTGACCATGTAAGTGATAAAAGCATAAGAACATATGAGAAAGGAGCAAAAGTAGATGAAATAGGCCCCTCAAATTGTTCTACCATTCAATAGGATTGTGGCTGATGTGACGATACTATAGCTTTAAGAGGTGTATTTTGTCCTTTTCTTTTTGTATGAAGGGATGTTGAGACAGAGATGTCAAGTGGCCTGTTTTGAATGTTGGAACAGTAGAAGCAACATGAATGGGTGGAGTTAGACTATTTTAGGATTTCAGTTTAACTTTCAATAGTTGTTGGGTTTTTGAAGCTGCTACACATCTCTCCCTGCTGCAGAAAAAAGCTTGAGTTTTCGCTCTCTCTGCCAGAATTTTCTCTTGACGGTCTTTCCTCCTGTACTGGAGAAATATTGTGTGTGCGATGATCTATTTTACTAAATTTGCCTCTCCAAAGAGTGTATTTATAGGATGTTACCATATCAGAACAATTGCTGTTTTGTAGTTACATAATCTATAATTCTATTGGAAAACTTAACAGAATAAAATTTGTACCAATTCTGTCTTCTTTTGTATTTTACCTGTAGAGTAACAATAAAGTGTGTTTTGCTTAAAGCTGAGTAATGTAACCAATCGAATTACATCTGGAACAGTTCACCTTAAACTTGTCTTTCAATAAGAGAATGTTAGGCTATCCCCTTTGATATATTTGAGGAGTGTTTAGTCTCGTCCATAACACTGATTTTCCATCTCCACTCCATTTTCTTGCCTGATTACAATATTCTTTGATTCCATGGGAGACCAAACATCTGCCTATCTCAACCTTAAGTATACTCAATGATGGAGTCTCTACAACACTTTACAGTAGAAAATTCCAAAGATTCACAACTGAGTGAAGAAATTTCTGGTTATCTAAATGTTCAACAGCTTGCGCTGAAACTATATCCCTTTGATATAGATTTTCCAGCCAGGGAACAAACTCTTCTGTCCACTCTGTCAAATCCCTTTAGATTTCTGTATATTTCAATGAGGTTATGTCTCATTATTCTAACTCCAGACAGCATAGACTGAGTTAGACTGCCTATCATAGAACAACCCTTTCATTCCAGAAACCAATCTAGTGAACCTTTGCTTGTTTTGCCTCAAAGGAAATTATATACTTCCTTAAACATAGAAAATGAAACCTGTGCACAGTTCTCCAGGTGTAGTCTCACCAAAGCTCAACACCACTGGAGCAAAACTTCCTTTTCTTCAACTCAGTTTCCTCTGCATCAAAAGCCATTTGGCTTCCTAATTGTTTTTTGTGCCCACATAATGACTTTTGTGGTCCCTAAACAGGTACATGCAAATTTCTCTGAAATCAGCATTTAGCAGTTTAATTTTGGAAAATAAAAAGTTTATTTTAATATTTACTAATGAGTTGAATAACCACGCACTTGCTCACAATATACTTCACCTGACACCTTTTTGCACGCACAATCTCTTTCAGCTTGTTTGAGTCATCTTCACGGTTTATCTAAATTTGAATCATTGCAAGCTTGGATATATTATTTTTATTAGTCTCTTCATCCAGGTTATTAATGTGGATGTTAGTAACTGAGGCTTGAGCACTAATTTTTGCAGCACTTGACAAATGACAGGCTACCAACTTGAAAATGCTTTGTTCATTCCGATTCAGTACTACTTGTTCATTAACTTATCCTCCAATCACTTTATACTTTACTCTGAACTCAATAAACCCTTATTTTGCATAATATTCTTTTATTAGGCATTTTATTGAATGTAGCTCAGAAATCCAAGCAAAATACTAGCTCTCCTGTATCCACCTAATAAGGTCCATCTCCAAAACTCTAATAAATTCGTCAAACACTTTTTTTTTCTTTTAAACCATGTTGACTTTGATTTATGTTATGATCTTCTAAATGAGTTGTTAAGACTTCATTTATAAATAGATTCCAGCATTTCCCTGACAACTGAAGTAAGGCTAGAGGAACACAGCAGGCCAAGCAGCATCAGAGGAGCAGGAAAGCTGACATTTCGAGTCGGGACCCTTCTTCAGAAAGGGTCTGAATAATGGTCTCAACCCGAAACGTCAGCTTTCCTGCTCCTCTGATGTTGCCTGGCCTGCTGTGTTCTTCCAGCTCCACGCTGTGTTATGTCAGACTACAGCATTGGCAGTTCATATTATCTCTGAAGTAAGGCTAATTGGCCAGTAATTCCGTTTTCTCTCTCTCACCTTTCCTGAGTAACAGTATTGTATTTCCTAACTTCCATTCTACTAGGATGATTATAGAACATAAGGAATTTCAAAAAATTTATAACCAGGGTATCCACTCTCTCTTCTGCTACTTATTTTATAGCCTTTGGATGTAGGCCATCTGGTCTTGGGGATTTATTGACTTTAGTCCCTAAAATTTCTTCAATACATTTTCTCTGTTGTATCTGTCACTTTATATTTCTCATACTCATTAGCCCCTTGCTTACCTTGTGTTTATGGCATGTAATTTATGACTTCTACAGCGAAGACAGACACAAAGTATTTATTTACTGTCTCTGTCATTTCCTCATTCCTCCTACCAAAAGACCATCTATTCTTCTTTTGTAAAAGCTCTTCTAATCTGATTTTTAATTTCACATTCCATGATTTAAATTTTTATCAACCTTGTGCTTGCCTTATAGTGGTTTATAATTAATTTTCAATTCTTAGGATTGCTACTTTGCTCTGGAATATTATAAATCTCTTCCTTTAATCTTCTATTCCTTTCCTCATTAGCCACAAATATATATTTCTTGATGTATTTTTGTTTATAATGGAATACAGTTTGTTGAATATATTCAAATTATGTTTTAAAATATTTTTTGGTTTACTTAGCATCACACCTTTTGGTTTAACCAACCTTGGGCCAGTTATCCTGTCATACCTATGAAATTAGCTTGGTTTAAGTTTGTCAGTGGGCCCCGAGTTTATCACTTGCAAACGTACTATGGAATTAAGTTGTTTTATCATCATTTTTCCCCAGAGGATTTCATACTGTGAGATTATTAATTAAATTTGCTTCAAAAATATTGTTATATCCAGTTGGCTACACATCACATTGGGTGGAATATTCTTGTGTCCTGAATAACATGGGGAATAGTAAGTCATTTGGGATAATATGGTTAAATCGTCAGTAATGAGATTCTCGATGTTGAGAGAGAAAGTCTGATTCTGCAACAGAGTTTTGAACAGCAAGATGAGAATCTCACCAGTAAGAGGCTAGAGGCCTTTTTGCATGCATTTATGTACCATTGGTACCTAACCTTGTCTCACTGATATGCATTTTGCTATACTATCACTTGTCAGAGAGGAATTAGATGGCAACAATTCTCACCATGAAAGGTAGTCAACTCCTCCTGGACCTTCATACCCTCCATGCTGACCTGTGCCTCTCTACCTGCCTCCAAGGTTCCTCCGATTCTATGTCAACCTTTTGCACTTCTTTGCCTGTTCACCCAGGAAATTTACTGCAAAGAGCCAATGAAGCCTATAGAACAGAACATAAAAACTAGGAGGAGGAAAAAGCAATTCAGCCCATCACACCTGTTATACCATTTAATACAATCATAGCTGATCTCATCTTGGCCTTGACTCCACTTAGTAACAATGGACTGTGTGGGAAAAGCTTTAAAATAATCATTAATTCATAACTTTCTATGAAAGAAACTGCTTTGATTCGAGCTTTGTAAATATGTCACTCATCAAGGCTGTTCAAGTACAAGTAGCAGAAACTATAAGCATTTGACACCTCTTTATATTGTGTAAATAAACATTGTTACATTGATAGATCATAGCAAAGGCCGCCAAACAAGCAATGTTTTTCATTTCAGTGCAGCTGTTTAAGCAAAATAATGGATTGTGGATTGTCACTGACTCTTCATTTCCAACTAATTGTAACTAACTGGTTGATGGTTTAATTTTTCTCCAAGATTCTACAATTCAAGAATTTTATCACTGTGCCACAGTTATTGTTTTCCAAACACCATTAAATTAAGAACAAATCTAATGAGCACTCTGAGGTAGTTGCCTAAGTACTACAGTCACAAATGTAAATTAAAAGTTTAATTAAATAAGACCAAAGCCACAAAAGGACTGCTCAAAACTTTGTCATCTAGCACTCTTGCCAGGTGTAATTTTCACACCCTGCATTGAATACACAGAAATCTCTTTTAGTCTGTTCTATTGTAAAGACGATGAAGTGAGAAAGCAGTTAGGCACTGGATAGTAAGTAAGATTTATGATGAGTTAAATTGGGCCACCTAGTGCTGTTTTTCTGAATCCAGTAACTCCCACAACTGGAGCCAGGAAATGTGACCATCCCAATCAAAGTGCTCTGCTGCCATATTGATTAGGGATGAACAGGATTTATAGTTTAATCTTAAGTCCACTTGCTCATGTCACACTTCAAAAATGGACACTACTGTTAACCTCAGTACATAAATTGCTAAATTACAGAAGAAATTAGGTAATGTCAGGTGCCCGTAAAGCTAATCTGTTTGTTTTTACTACATTTCAGAAACCAGAACAACTTGTGATATAAACATGATTATTATCTCCTGACGTCTGGTCTGGTAACTAGGTCTAATTTGTAAATTTCAGCAATCTTGCAGTACATAGAAGGTGCTGGGAAGCAGCGACTGAAGCAGCTCAACAGGACTACCAGCTTCACAATCAAATGCCATATTTTTAATAGCCTCTTATGTATACTTGTGAGCACAGAAGAAGGATAGATAGGAATAGTAAAGGTGCCATTTTACTTTGCTGCTTGTAAGTCAAACAGAGCATCAAAAACTTTATTTTAAAAACTACCTCACGTAAAAGTTTTTTTTTATTCTTTTAGAGTATAATTGAAAAGCAGCAATGGACATTTGATATGAAGAATGTTGTATCTGAGGACAGAAGTTTGTTTACTACTTTTTGTCTTATAGTGTGACCTTCCAGTCAGTCTTCTGGCCCAATTACAAATCACTAAAGTCCATTTATCCATTTCCAATAATTTGGTGCATGTAGATTTTAAGCATTGGTAGTTGAAATTCAAATAATAGTTATTCACTTGCAAGTGACCAAATGCTTTTACATAACTCTTAACAAATTGTTATCTTTTGCATTCAAATCTATTATTCAAAACAACATGCCTTGTGATTTCATTCAGCACCAAGATCAAATGAAGATCTTACTTAATGTCGGTATGTCTCGTTAGAAATGTGTCATATCTCTTCTGATGACAAGTTGGCCTTGTAACAGCATGTGTCATTGGATTTTGTTATGGTATGCTGATGTTATGACAGAAAAAAGTTTACTTGTTGCCTGATAGCGCACCTAATTAAACAGTGACAACTATGGTACTCTGCTTGTATCACAAACACTGAACAAAGATTGTTCTTGTTTGACAGATTGTTTCTTTTAAGGCTAAATTTTAGTTTAATGTGATAGCGTATGTAGGATTAAGAACACTCATATGATGTATAATGAGGCATTATTATGCAAAGTTAATTTAATGGTGGCTTTATTTATATTCACAATTTTTATAAGTCAGATGTAATTTCTTATTTTGTTTTAATTATTAATAGAAATATGGTTTCCAGTAACAAAATTGACTCAGACAGCTATGTTAATTTCAATTAATTGATAATATATATTTTGCCTGTAATCTCAAAATCATTATATTACAACCTTAATGAGGACAGCACTGAGCTTCATTTGCAACTCCATTGCAATGAAAATATTAATTATATCATCTTTTATTATACACTGTCCATCCTGGTTGAAGGCAAAATCAATGATTAAAGGTGATTAAATGAAAAATAACTGTCTCATTTCATATCGATTCATTATGCTGACAAGTATTGTTCATTAGCTGCAGCTTGCAAGAACACAGGAGATTGCTTCTTCTCTTTGGATGGATAGTGTGCATTGCTCTAATCTCACTGTTACCTATGAATACTGCACAAATATTTGCCTACTTTTGTTTTTAGAAAATTTCAATAATGAATGAAGTAACATCAAAACAATAGTGAAATTTCAGAATATTTCAAACAGTGTGGGACTGGACATTATATTAAATAACACAACCAATTTATAGCCACTTTTTTTGACCTTGGCAGTAACTTTATTGAAGTATACAGCACTTTTATTGCACTACGAAAAATAACTTGTTGAACAGATTGGTTCCTTGAGATCTCAGCAGGTCAGGCAGCATTGATAGAGAGAAAGCAAGCTAATATTTCAAGTCTAGATGACTTCTTCAGAGCCATCTAGACTCAACATTAGCTTGCTCTCTCTTCATGGATGCTGCCTTACTCACTGTGATCTGTAGCATTTTTAGTTTGCAGTACAGATTCCAGCATCTGCAGTAATTTGCTTCTAGATGAGTTCCTTTCTTCATTCCATTCTTTTTTTATTTGGAATTGCCCTGATTGGTTTTTCTTCTTCTTTGCAGAAAGCAGATTTAGCTGTTGCCCCTCTCACTATTACCTACGTACGGGAGAAAGTTATTGACTTCTCAAAACCCTTCATGACTCTGGGAATTAGCATCCTCTACCGGAAGCCCAATGGCACAAACCCAGGTGTTTTCTCTTTCTTGAATCCGTTGTCCCCAGATATTTGGATGTACGTGCTGCTGGCCTGCCTTGGGGTCAGTTGTGTACTTTTTGTTATCGCCAGGTAAGATGGAGCAAGTGTGATTTGTGGGAGGGAAGGAGTGGAGAACAAGAAACATTACTACAATAATTAAAATTGATTTTCTTTCACAAACTATATTGCAATATTATTGATAAAGGAATTTTCTGCACTCTGGCAGTGTACATTCTTGAATGTGTAACATGTTTTGTGTTCGGCTCTTTTTGCTACTATTTATAGCCTAATTAATATATCAAGTTATTATAGATAGATATTTACAGCAAGTACATGATGATAATGTAATACATTCTCTACTAGTTAATAGCAATGGAGTTTTTGTTTTAATGTTTTATGCTTGTGCCAAGCTTTACATTTAGAAGTCAGGATAGTTTTGTGTCAATGTTCAATGCACACCATTGCACATTTTATTAAGTACTCACTCGGACTGGTGAGATTTATTGCAAATCTAGGAAATAGTGTGGAGGTTGACTGCTGCGGTAGCTGAGCTTCAATGCTGTTATCATTGATGCATGCCCTTTGTTTCTCTGTCAGCTTAACTAGTCTGATTTGTTAATAACTGATTTTGCCGATTGTACGTACCTTTTTTTACATCTGTGAAATACTGATATTAAATATTTTCACTTTCCTCAACTCCAGAATCCACGGTTGAGATCGGAGATGCAGCATGTAGGGCAGTTAATATGATGATAATTATATACAGGTTTTGTGTTTTTGAGATAAAAACACGTTAGTTATGACATCATCAGTCTGCAAACTGCATTTAGGGTGTTTTTTTTTGTTTCTCCAGAAGTGTTTGTCAGTTATTTGAAAAAAGAAACTTTTAGTTGATGACTTATGCCTGTTGATTTTGTGTCAATCAAAATAATGCGATATGCAGGCAATTAAGTATTTCTGTGTTTGTGTGTAGCTAAGTTTTAATGAAGGGTTGACAATTGAAGATATTGATGAATTCTTCTAATTCTGCTTCTGTGTGAGTATAAATACTCCAAGATGGAGGCCTGAGGAGCATGTGATGAGCTGGAGCCACCCCTCTTTCATGTTCAGAACTGTCACCATCTAGTTTCTCTGTGGCATATGGAAAATAGGAAATATAAAGGAAGTGTGATTAGGTACTAATAAGACATAGATGCAAGCATATAAGCCCATTGCCACTCACTAGCGAGATTCTCAGCTTGCCATTAAAGCTTTCGTATAAAATCTATTTCCTTAATGATGAAAAATGCAGTTTCCGTGATCTCCCCATATTTTCCCTGCCATCACCATTGCCCAAGTCATTCAGGAGCTGGGAAGATTCAGCCCATAGACTAGATGGTGTAGCATTGTGGTGTAATGAACAGAAAGGCTGTCTAGTTACTGCTCTGTCCTCAGTTAGCCAATCTTACTTGGACCATTTGTGAATGAACTCCAGTTGACCTTAAGTGTTATAGGCAGAACAAAGGGAAAGAGGCCAGCTTTCTCCTGACTGCCATTCAGAAGCCACCACAAGATGTGGGGCTGTGAAAAATGAAAATCATTGGTCTCAGTTGTAGGATATAACATACACAAATACAGCATGTGGGATTTTTCTGAGCTTAATGAAGATGCTGTGAATAAATTCTCAAAACATATGAAGCACTCTTGAATATATATTGTCAAAATGCCATTGCAGTTTCAAAGTGGCCTCTTAATCTTATTAGAATGATATATTTAGTGCATTAGCACACTTTGAAAGGGATGAACATTTAAATGTGTTTAAACTTTGTATGGCCAAAAACAACTTTCTGCATTTTCAGTAGGTACCTATAGAGTCAGAGCTAAGAATACATTAAGGTTCAACTCTAGGTCACTCAAATTGTGCAGAACTAGACCCTATTCCATATCCAAAGTTGAACATCCTACTAGCCCTACTTAACACATTCTCTGTAGAATCACAGCTAAAAGACATATTTGTATGGTTTCAATTTGGAGTCATTTCCTCATGAATGAACTGCTGGTTGTCAAGTCCACCTCATAACAATAGATTATAATTTCATAGTTTACTCTTTCACTGGAATCAGTGAAATCCAATGATAGATAGAGATATAATATATATATAGTAAGCTGGGGCTGAGCACTATGACTGGTAGATATTGATCCATGGGCCAGTTCTCTGTCAGTGAGTTCGACAGATGAGCTAATTTACAGAGTTTTGCTTTTGTGGTGATCTGCTTCTCTACAATGGACAGAAGGTTGAAACCAGACAAAGGAATGCTTTTATTCAGCAACATCTCAGCGGCTATAGCTAATGACAATGGTGCTTATCAATGATTTTAGGAGGTTTTTGATTACATGTTAGCAGAATTTTTTTTTGAAAAACAGACAAAGCCAGAACACCAGATCACAAGTATAGTGGTTCTGATTGTATAAACTCTGGATTAATCCAATCTTTCAAGATAAATTTAAATTGAAAAGTAATCACTACCCAGTATTAGGTAAGAGTAAGCCTTGGTTGTAATTATCTTGGACAACAGAATTTTAAAAAAAACTTGAATCAGTGATGATTGCACAATTAGACTGCAAGATTAATCTCTATAGTATCCAGATTCTCAGTGCAACAGGGTATCATCTGGCATCCAAAATGGTTCTGCATTAATCATTGATTGACAGCATCTGACTCCTGCTGAAGTGGTACAAGTGTTTAGGGGTTTGGCAGGACTGTAGAACTGGATTTCAACTTTGAGCTTTCTCTTAAAGCCACTTGTTTCCGGACACAGATGCACCCCCATCCTTGGTCTCCAGCTGATCAGGAGGGAATGAGCAGAGGAGACATTGACCAGCAGTTAGATTATAATGGTGAAGGAAGGAGAAGAGTGGTCTCAGCAGTTGGTCATAGTCCAAGATGTTCAGAAAGCGATTCTCATGCCTGCATTTCAGTCAGGATCAATGTGTCAGATAGCTGCACTTCACTGCAGACACAAATGACGGACAGTGTTGAAAGAATCTCACCAGGTCTGGCAGTATTTGTGAATAGAAACAGAGTTATCTTTTTGAGTCAGATGTGACTCTCCTTCAGAACTTCACTGCAGACATTATTATTGAAATCTGTGGCTTGCTGCAGCCACAACTGAAATCTCCTAAGCACAGCAAGCTTGGCATTGCCACTGGCTATGAATGTGCTCATAGCTACGAACATTAATGTATTTGGTTCCTTTCAGCTGGAGTAAACAATATTTACAATGTCACTCAAAGTCAGCCACTATTTCATAAGTGGAGTCACCAGCTACAGACTGATTGTGCCCAGTCCCTCAATCTATCCAGATCTGTATCAGTATCTGAACTGGTGGCTGATAGTATGAGCACAAATAGCTGTTTCTTCCTTGCCTTTTGGAAGGTGCCGTGGCTCAGTACTTAGCACCAAGGACCTGGTTTGATTCCAGCCTTGGGTGACTGTCTGTGTGGAGTTTGCACGCTGTCCCCATGTCTGCGTAGGTTTCCTCTGGTTGCTCCGGTTTCCTCTCACAGTCCCAAAGAAGTGCAGGTTAGGTGGATTGGCCATGGGAAATGGCTACAAAGCTAGGGTGGGAGAGGTGGGATGCTCTTCAAAGGATCAGTGTCGACTCGATGGACCAAATGATCTGTTTCCACACTATAGGGATTCTATGATTCTTCATTTTCCAGCTCTTCTACCTGGTACTTCTGGCCATGGACAAAGAGAAAGACATGAGATTTTAGTGAGAGGAAGGGAGAAGTAAATGATGGACACTTCCAGCATCTGCACCTTGGGATGTTCTTCAGAGATTTGATGTGGAAACAGTGGTGGGCTGAATGGCTGCAAGTGTGAGAGCAAATAACTATTTCTTCCTTTTTCTTGTGGGAGGCACAGTGGCTTAAAGGCCACCACTGTTTCCACACCAATTCTCTGAAGAGCATCACACCCAGACTCGTCCCCCTACACTGTCCCTGTAACCCTACATTTCCCATAGCTAATCCATCTAATTTATACATCCCTGGATACTATGGGCAATTTAGCATGGACAATACACCTAACCTGCACATCTTTGGCCTATGGGAGGAAACCACAGAACCAGGAGGAAACCCGTGCAGACACAGGGAGAAAGTACAAACTCCAGAGGTAGTGTTCAAGGCTGGAATTGAACCTGGGGCAGTGCTAGCCGCTGTGCCACCCCATTAGCTTGCTGTCGTCTTCAATGGATTCAGCCCACTACGGATCATAGCTGCTTCAGCAATGGTGAGCAACACATTCACAGTGGATGTAAGAATTTGCAGCCAATTCCTCCCCAGTTAGATGTTGCCTTCTTTGATTATCAGCCACCTTGTTCCCAGCAAGAGTAAAGGAATTGTATCTCCGTGTGGTGTAATCGGATTTGGTGATTATGGCTGCTCTAGTTCAGTCGCGCGTGAGTTGTATGTGTGAGGCTTTAAATGTGAGGCTGAGGTGAAGCTGTGAAAGTTAGATTTGAGTCATGGTTGGCAGGTGAATATAAAGGTGGTGCACTGTGTGAGGCCAGTGATGCAGTTGTTCAGGTATGTCATCTTAAAGATGCATTCCCTGACCATAACTACTCATGTAAGGTCACTGAACTTTGTATCACTGCAACCAGGTCCTCAGGGGTTGACTCTTAATATTGATCACCAAGACTATTTCATCCACTTTCCTTTACAGTGTTTGTCTGGAGGGCCTCCTCGTTACTTTTCTCTACTCCTCCTCCTCACCTCGTACACTAAGATCTCCTCCTTTGCAATACTGGAAAACTTTGGTGCCTGACTTTACTTCTGGGTTCAGCACGCTGATTTTGGGATCAAATTCTGGGGTATGACCAACCATTGGCTGGCACAATATTGGCAGGATTGGCCAATTAATCGGCTGAGGGCAAGCTCTCTGATCTGTGTTATGAGGCTGAAAGGTTTAAAAGGAGCCCCTTTAGCAGTGGAGGTGCTTCAGCCTGCCATTGCAGGTAAGGTAAGTGAGAGGGAAGTACCCCTCAGCACTTCTAACAAAAATGATGACAAGAAAGAAATTGCCATGGCTTTAGGACTACCACTGTGGAGGGGGCTGATCTCTCAATGATTCTGAAGCCTTTGCCCTGGTCCAGGAGGCCATCTCCATAATCCGTTGGGCTCTGGAAATCTGTAGAACATCTACTGGCAATATTCAGCCTCTCATCAGTGGCGTTAATTAAACTCTCTTAATTCAGTTAACAAGCTTGCACTTGGAAGGCAGGTAGCTGTTTTGTGCCCAATCTGACTTCCAGATAGGGAACTGGCACACAGGCCAGAATCAGGAAACTCTGTGCCTGCCCATCTGCATACCCTTCCACACACCTACGCCAAAACCCTGTTCACAGAAACCATTTTCTGGCAGTGCAGATTGCCACAAATCTTTGAATACTGCCTGCAACAGACACAAGGAGCACGGATTTAGCATTGTTTCTGAGCCTAGTTATCATCTGTGGCCTTATTGTGTTATTGCATCGTCAGGAGACATGATTCCACACAATATCCTGTATTCTCTGAATGCCAATTCCAACAAGTACTTTGAATCTTAAAACAGTGCTACAGATGACCTTTATCTTAATGGTTGCACTGCAATCTCGAGCAGCTTTAGCAGAACAAACATCTGGAGGAGAAAACTGATGAGAATATTTCCTGACTTCTAATCTAACATAAAAGGTGTTAAGCATTTCACCGCAGCTGCACAATACATACAACTCTAACTTTGTTTATTATTAAAGCAAGAACAATATCTCACCTATTTGCAACTCAGCTCAACTATTTACTGAGCTGCTTTTAAGTGTTATTTTATATTTGATGTGTTTGCTGTGTATGCATGTCGTATTTACCAACTGTTTCTATTGATTACCACAGGTTTACACCCTACGAATGGTACAATCCCCACCCTTGCAATCCTGACTCAGATGTGGTGGAAAACAATTTTACTTTGCTAAATAGTTTCTGGTTTGGAGTTGGAGCTCTCATGCAACAAGGTACATAGGTCACATATCTTTTTTACACATATCCCACAGTGTGCTGGGGGCCTTTGTGCGTGGTAAGCTCCATCCTCAGCAACTATGCTCTTTGCTGTAAAACCTGGTAGACAATAAAAAGAATAATTATAAATAGTACTGGGATTAAAAAAATCAAGCAAAAGTATATCAAAAATATATCAAACAAGGAAAAATTATCAATGGATTTCTAGCTGAGGAAAAGGCGGATTAAAAGCTGAAAATACATGTAGAAGACACAGGGATACTTACTAAAAATAAAAGAGAATTTAATTTTGAAAGATAGGGTCAAATTTCATTTCTTACAGAAATCCACAAGTACAATAACTAATAATATGATATTTAGACATGTTTCAACACTCTCTGGATAAGTACTAAATTTGCTCCTCAGTTTATACAGTGAAGCCAATCATGTCAAGTTTTAGACGGGGATGAGTGTCTCATATGGACAGAACTTCAACGTAGTGGAGTAATGCATTGTTATGAATTTAGTTTAAATAAATACTAGCCAAATGTATACTTTGTGAAACAGAAAACTTTATATGTTTTCATATATATCTTGGTTTTAAGGAAATAAATACTCTCCATTTAAATTCTTCCCAAAATTTGATATTTTAATTAACATTTGTCTGAAACTGCCATAGATATTATAGTGTTACAATATACTATACACATACACAGTAGCAGTAACCAAGTGGTTATTTAACAACTAATAGAATATGTGGGGTGCTCTCAAACCCGCTTTTATTTCAGATTCTTCATAATCATTGTGGGGAATCCCATGGGAATCTTGCAGTGGAGATCTGGATTCTCACAATTTTTAGCTGACTTTCACAGTTCTTTCTCCCAATTGTCTGTTATATTTTTGAAGACATTCCAGAGGAAATTCACCATTGTACAATTTAACTCTGTGACTCAAAATAACAATACTTCAGCTGCATTAAGACATGCCACCCCAGAAAGTAATGTGAAATTCATCCAGCACCAATCATTTTTATCTTTGAATAAAGAAAAGGTTGGTAATACTTTGAGCATCACCCCTTCATAAGAACTCCTATATCAAATACATTCAGATTTTATAAGTGAAAATGGATGCACAAGATTTCAAGTAAATAGTGTAGAACAGCAAGTTAGAACAATCTTTTGGACCCATATTTTACTGAAAATATCTACAGTATATGTTAATGAAAACTGGCAGAAAAATGTTATCTCTGATTTCTAGTTTTACTTTAACACTTTCATGTGACCAGAATACATTAGCAAAGATGGTTCTGAAATAACTAAATTTAAAGTATAGCCTAAAACTCCATTGAACAATATTTCTGCCACCACAACTAAGTCTCACTGGGACAAACAGCAGATTGTAGTTCTGGGCACTTCTTTTGATTTGTTCAAGCTAAAATAGAACATTACTATCAGGTTTTACAGTATATAGCATCTGTGTGAATGTGATGGTTGCATGTGTATGAATGTTGATGAAAGCTAGTTTCTCTTTTCAAAACAGTGGTGGCTGGCTGGCAAAATGAATGTATTGAGGCCACACATGTCAAACACGTTGGAGTTTACCATCATCCACAGCAAACTGTGGGACGTCGTGTCTGATTGTTGCCACTACCTTGGATACATGACAGTCAGCCCCAACCAGGCTCTGCTTATCTTTTCAAAGAGATTCTTAAACAAATGTTTGCAAATGAAAACTCTCATGGAACCTGTGTACATAAATGCATCATGTTTTGCACCCACAAACAGCTTCAAAGCAAGTCAAACCGTCTGTATGGAAAGTCTGTGATCTTTGTGTGAGAGCAAATGTTTGATTTTTTTTCTCTTGTGATGATCAGAGTTTCTCTTTCCTACAGACCTTGAGCAAAGTCTGGATCGGGATTGGCTGTCATGTCTGCCAATAAGGCACTAGAAAGAAAGATAATCAGCAAGTATGATCTCTGAGTAGATCCTACCCTTATCACATTTTAAACTTGCTGGCTCACTAGAATTAGGCACACCAACAAATTGTCACTTGGAAATAAATAATATAAAAATGATCTTAAAAACAAATACAGCTGGTGGAAATAAATGAATTAAAAAGGCAACAATCTGTGAAAATCCAGGTGTATGCTGCGTCTTTAAAACTTTGCACATGATCCTTAAGGTTAGAGGTGTGTTTTTTTTCAAACCAGTTCAGCTTGTTGTTTTAAACAAAATAATGACCATAAAAATCTGGAGTGCCTTTTATGACTTAGTACTTTCCTTTCATCTACTTTTGAATTAACAAGTGTTGGTGCTGTGCAATACTTTATCACTGAACCAAAATTCTTAATGCCATAGAAAATCTTCTGCCTTTGAATCTGAATGTCTGTACTTTCTAAACGTTTTAGCCCCCTTGCCAGTCAATCTAGATTTATTTAAAAGTTTCGTATTAATTTTAATCTGCACTAGTTTACACCTATGCTTTATAGATCCCTGATCGTAGCCATCAATTTAAGCCATTATATGTAAACAGGATTCTGGGAATATTAAACAAGACTTTACTGTGATCTCCTCCTGCAGTGTTAAGTTGTGAGTAAATTCTAAGAGCTCAAATATTAAACCTACTTCTTTATTTATATATAGCAGGAACTGCAGATGCTGGAGAATCTGAGATAACAAGGTGTAGAGCTGGATGAACGCAGCAAGCCAAGCAGCATCAGAGGAGCAGGAAAGCTGACGTTTCGGGCCTAGACCCTTCTTCAGAAATGGGGGAGGGGAAGGGGGTTCAGAAATAAATAGGGAGAGAGGGAGAGGCGGATAGAGGAGAAGATAGGTGGAGAGGAGACAGACAGGTCAAAGAGGCGGGGATGGAGCCAGTAAAGGGAGTTAGGGAGGGGATAGGTCAGTCCAGGGAGGACCTGTCTTTGACCTGTCTGTCTCCTCTCCACCTATCTTCTCCTCTATCCATCTTCTATCCGCCTCCCCCTCTCTCCCTATTTATTTCTGAACCCCCTTCCCCTCCCCCATTTCTGAAGAAGGGTCTAGGCCCGAAACGTCAGCTTTCCTGCTCCTCTGATGCTGCTTGGCCTGCTGTGTTCATCCAGCTCTACACCTTGTTATCTCTTTATTTATATACCTAGTTTACAGTAGTCTAATTGAGCAGATTGTTCAGACTAAAAGGCTATACCTTGAATCATTATTCAGTTTGCCAATATTTGTGTCTCGGGGTTTATTAGGGGTGCGCTTGTCTTCTTGCCTTTTTAACATGTGTTTCTGCCTAAATGAAAACATGCATTGGGTGGGTTGGTAGAGAAATGAACTCTGTGTAACTAATCTCATCCATTGTTGTGTAAAAGGTGAGGCCAATTGGCAATGACTGCTGTGAAAATGGAAAGTGCTGAAGAAAACACAACAGGTCTGACAGCATCTGTGGAGACCGAGAGGAGTTAAAAATTTGATTCCAAATAACGCTCTTCTTACAAACTTCTGAATTACTGATATAATCTGTTTGTAAGATTTCCCCAATGACTTTGTAGGTAAAACTGTTCCCTGACATGCTACTGAGCCATACGGGTTGTACACTTTGGGATTGAACTCGATTGGGATATTTCTGGCTTTTTAATTGTCAATAAGTATATTTGTATGTGAAGAAAGACCATTGGGGTTGGTACCAGGGCAGCAGAAACCTAGCAAGGATCATAGTGCCTTCAAGAGAGGAGAAAAAACTAAGAGGGGAGGGAGAAAAGGAGACTTTATCTGGTGCACATGGTAAGTACACCCATTAATCTTAAATCTTAAGTGTAGATGGTGGCTAGACCAATCCACCGGTCAACACCCATCACCATTACCTTGTCTAGGTTGGCCTGTACTGATAAGCTACTTAATACTCAAGTTGAAGTACTGGTGAACACAACCCAACACTGGGGTAAAATGATCTAACATGCCAGTTTTATTTAACTAAGTGAATGAATTGTCTAGTTGCTTTGCTTTATATTTCAAATTTTGGTACCTTCCTAAATGCTTGAGTACATCCATTTGTTTTCCAGCTCAATTTAAGCTTTTAACAGGCAACTGGATTTTGTTCTCCATTTCCTCTCTTTGTTTATTTTGTTTGAAAAATGAACCACTTTGAAACTAAAATGTAAAAAGGATTAAAATAATATTGCATTATACAATTGTTAAAATTTCCCATATAGCAGTTTTGGCCTGCCAAAGTGCTTTGTCTATGTCTTGTAATGATTGAACCCTAGATATTTGCAGCCTAAACCCAAGAGCAATACAAAAGTAAATACAATGCCTTTTTTTCCCACATAGGTGTTTCTCTCTGTTGCAAACATTCAGCCAATTTTCATTTAGCAATTCAATGGTTTCTTATTGTATCAAAGCACTGTGTTTTGACAATCCTCTACGCAAGAACATTTTATATATTACCTCACTTTTTAAGGGATGATTTTTAAATTAATATACTCTTCTTAATTAAGGAATAGTCACTCTGTGTAAACGCATCCTAATGTTAAAAATTATTAAATCTCATCTCAGAAACAGTGGACGTAATCCCAATACACAGAGCTTCTTCTCGTAATTAAAGTTTTCTTGCCCTGGTATCGTCCTAGTAAATTGTTTACCCTATGTAGCTTTGACGTCCCAATGCTTTGTGTTGTTTGTGTTACTCCATGTTACTGTGCCCTGAATCACTGGTGCACTGACCAGTGCCCAATTGTTTTCAGCTACATTACTGTGTTCATGGATGACTCATTCATTCAAATCTACAAGCATGATCTTTACCATGTTCTCTTCTGACTGCCCATCATATATTAAGAGCCTCATTTAGAACAGATCTTATTCCCTGCTAAGTTTTCAATTGTCCTTTAATTTGTGAACATTTTTTTCTTATTGCTACTGTTGTGACAGGCTCTGAACTGATGCCCAAAGCGCTCTCCACTAGAATAGTGGGTGGAATATGGTGGTTTTTCACATTAATTATAATATCATCATACACTGCCAACTTGGCTGCCTTTCTGACCGTGGAAAGAATGGATTCTCCCATAGACTCAGCAGATGACTTGGCAAAGCAAACCAAAATAGAATATGGTGCTGTCAGAGATGGATCCACAATGACTTTCTTTAAGGTAGGTCATATAATAGGCTTAATTTTTTTTTCTTTTAACCTTGCCCAATGTTATTGCTTTGTAAGGTTCTCTTATGATCATGAAAGTGATTAATATGTAAGTTCAGGTGCACGCATTAATCATTTAAGATGTGTCTTCTTTAGTTGGTAGTCTTCCAGCATGAAGGCTGTATGGGGGCTGGAGCTGTGAATTTTAACCGGGTACCATGTCCTAAGGTACTTGCCTTTTAATTCATTATCCAGAAACAACTTTATACTGTATAAAGGATACTAAATCTGAGGAACTTCATTATTCCAGTCCCTTAATTGATGTTTTGTTTCCTGGTAAATTTATTTGCTATCCTGTTGAAAGCATAGACATTCATGTGATAGGTTGACAGAATTTTTAATTTTGCAAACCAGAGTGAGTTCAGATCTCAGATATAGAGTATAGCAATTACAGCTGGTGACAGGAGTGAATAAATGATTAGCACTTTTGTATATTAATCTTCTGTCCACAAATCGAGCACAGACATTAATCAGCACTGTAAATGTGTTAATACCTTGAGTAAAAGAAGCAGAAAGTGCCTAAATAATACATGTGTGTCCTCCGATTGATTGTTTCTAGGCTGTGAATTTGAAATACACTAATTCGGGAAAACAGGCAGTACTTACAAATTCACTCTCCTGGCACAGTACATAGTACACTAAGAGCAAGCAGGGGAAACTCAGGGAAGAGAGAGCAGTGCGTTGGGCAGAATCTTCGGTCCATTTAACAATATTTTGCAAGATCTGATGACTTCCAGGTCCTTCACACACAAAACCTTGTGCTTGCAATGACAGAAAAGTGGAACTATTTTAAGGTCGTCATGATTTATCGCTTAAAGTAAACTGTACAAGTAGAAGGTTATCATTAAATATGAGACAGGAAAATCAGCTTTTCTGTCCTCTTCTGGAATATTCCGGTAGAAGATCTGTATGGTCCTGATATGGAACTGTTCCTTCCCCTTCATTGTGAGCTTTAGACTACATGTGAATATTAATATAATTGATTTGGATTTGCTATTTTGCAATATTTGTTTCTGTGTATTCTTATTTGGTTAACTATATAAAATTCAAGTGACAGCTATCTTCTTTTGATTGATATTTTGCATGTCGGCACTTAGCTCTAAAAAGATGACTCTCATTTCACAGAATCAAAATATGAGTACACATTAGATCTAGCATTTTAATCGAGAAGTATGTATTGTCTATACCTAAGATGTTATAAGATTTTACAGCCAAAATCTGCGCAGATTGCTTGAGGTAAGATTCCCATTGCAACTACTGTTGAGCTTTCAAGAAGGTCCTAATGGTGGCATTACCTCACAAGTAACACATTACATGTTAACAATGCTAACTATTATACACAAATGCAAGTCTATGGAGGCATACAGCACGGAAGCAGACCCTTCAGTCCAAACAGTCGATGCTGACCATAATCCCAAACTAAATTCCCACCTTCCTGAGCTTGGCCCATATCCCTCCAGACCTTTCCTTTTCATGTATTTATCTAAATACCTTTTAAACATTGTAACTCTACTCGCATCCACGACTTCCTCTGGAAGTTCATTCTGCACACGAACCACTGCATTACAAAAATAATTGCCCCTCATGTCTTTTTTAAAACTTTCTCCTCTCACCTTAAAAAATATGCCCCCAATCTTGAAATCCTTTCTCTCCAAGACCTTCAAATAAAACACCAATAGATCCACACCAATCTGGTGCAAACACCCCTTTTCAAGTCTCTTCAAACCAACTTCCACTCTACTCACAACATCAACTGCCCAAATTCATGAATAATATCCTCCCAGTTGCACCCTACCATCCTCATTCCTTCATATACTGCAGCAAATTCAAATCTTAGCCATCCTGCCCTATGCCACATTAAATCCTACTCATCCGTTATTCCAATGCATAATGACTGTTTCAATAACCTGACATCCAACACTAAGATTAGAATTCTTCTACAGCCTCACCTCATCCTGGATTGGCAACTTCTTCCCATATTTTATCTTATCCTGCATTCTTCTGCTGTGACTGTTTTTTTGGCATTATATCCCTTCACTCTACTTGCAGCTGTCTCAGCTTTACTCTGTGCAACATCGCCCATAAACCCATCTGCTCTATGTCTCTAACCTTTTCTTCATCATTTTTTTTTAACCAAAGCTTTGAAGAAAAAAAAGTTTAATTTGTAAAGCACATTTCACAGCTTCAAAATATCCCAAAGCATCTCAGAGCCAATTAAGCATTTATTTGACATGTCATTATTCCTGTTGCAACATGCCTGTGAACACTTACTTCACTTTTTCTTCTTTCCCCCACTGTATAAAATACCTCTGATTGCCTCCTAAATTAGAAGCACTATATAAATGCAAATTATTGTTGTAATCTGCTACTATAGTCCATATTGCATATCTTTGAATTTGTGTTGGCCTTTGTCTCCTATTACTTTGAGATTCTAGACACAGCATTTGCAGAGCTGGACTCATCTCATTCATATCCCATCACACTCTATTGTGAAAAGCTTCAGTTTCTTTCATGACCCAATAATGCAGAAGTGTCATGTATGGTTATTAAGGTTCTGCCCTGTGTAACTCAGGTTGCAAAAATAATTGAATGCAGAAACATGTATTAGAGGAACCTTTTGTTAAATGGAACAGAGAGACAGCATACTGATCTGGAAAAAGATAAAACAGTGATTTAGTTTTACAAAAGAAATGCCGGGTTGCATAGAAGACAAATCAAAAGAGATTGGTTTATTACTACATTAGTCACCGGTGCTCAAATTCAGAAGCTAAACAATTTTAAAAAGTACATTTGAAGGCTTAGATTATGATGAAAAGGAACTAGGCCTTTTTTCTTTCGAGAAGAAAATACTTCACGGTGTTTTCATTCAGGATTTTGACTGTAAGAATAAGTTCACAAAGGGTAAACTGCTGTGGATAAGGTTTCAACTGTTAGTGGACAAATACTACAGGTTACGAGTAAAACAGAAACCAAAAATAATTTCATCCATAAAATAGAGATGTCCTGAGAAGGCCATTGAAATAAATAGCAATTCATTTATTTCTGGTGAGAGAGAATCAATTAAAGGATATTGTGGAAAAAGCGTTTATGCCTTTACCTCCAAAATGTATTTGATTATAATAGGCTTTTATTGTACCCATAAACACCAAGGCAAGCAAGTTTACATCTGATTGACTGCAATTTAACAAAAATCCTTAAATTCATCTTCTGCAACTGTGAGGAAATATAGGGTTAAACTTCAAAGAAATCTTTTGACAATTCCAAATCCTTCTTTAAGTAATTAATTGGCTGACAATATACAGCCCATTTCAACTTCAAAGATGCACAGTCTTTAAAAAAATGTGAGCTTCATCTTTCAATAATCAGGTGATGAATGATTGTCAGTAAATTGATCCTCTAATATTTTATATTTCAAGTTAAAACTACCACAATAGGGACATGATTGGGTTTAATTGGTCCATGTTGATGATTTTTCAAATCTATGGGTGAAATTTTCCCCTTAAATATGGAGACGGTGAAAACATTCAGAATTTCAACATCAAGAAAAATTGCTCCTTTCCCCCTTGAGCTTCAAATGGCAACTTCGGAATCGCACCAATGTGCAGCAATTACTTTATCCCTGCATCAACATCTCATTAAAGCTGCAACTTGTCTTATTTTTATGCCATTTTCCTCTCCTTTCCTGAGAAATTAGATTGCACAAATTCCTCATGGGTAAATCAAGCAAGACCTCACAACTGCAGATCTCCAAGTGCTTGTTCCAGCCATCATCCAACTGCTTCACAATAACGTCACTGCACCCTCTACGGATACTAACCGCCTCACTCCTGCATCCATCCAGGTTGGCATCAGTAACTCACCAGCCTCCCCCACGTCATCATGGCTTCTCTGGAACCAACCCACACAAAACGATTCACCCTTCAACACTTTTTTTAACTTTGGAATTCAGGGACCCCTATGTCTTGCATGCTTCTGTTAGATTACTTTCTACACAGGGACACACAGACATCTCTTGCATATACATAGGAAGCATCTTATAGCTCATTGAGGTTTTAGTGCTGTCAAATGATGCAGCTTGCATTGCTTTTTAGTGCAGGTGGAAAGGGTGGGAGCACTGAACGGAGTGGACTTGTTGCTGTGAGACACCGTGCAACATCAAGGTCACAACTGTAGCATGTCCCTGCAGTTTATGTGAATGCAATTCATGTGTGAAAGTCAAAAGAGAGCAGTCTTTGGTGGATGAAGGGGGACTACTATAGGTCAGGGTACTGGTCTGCTTCAAGTCCAGAGGGTTGTTCCTCTCAAAGTCTGAGAATCTGTGTTACTGGATTTGAAAATTGAGACACAGTCTATAGTGCTGGTCTAGAACAACTTGTTCAGTGATTACAAGTAGGTCAGTCATGATGCGGGATTGTCATGGTCCAGAAGGAAGCCATACGGCCCATCATCTACTGGCTATGAAGAGAGTTGTTCTGCTGATATGGGCTTCACTTGAACTGTGCTGGAGCCAGTGTTCCTTTGAATCAAACAACTATGGTGCAGAGAGAGCTTTAAACAAATTACAGGGGGAGAAGGTTTGGGAGAGGGGAAAATGTTAGTTTGCAAAGCAAAAGTATATAGCAGCATTACACGGCATCTGTTTGGATAGCAATATTCAGTGTGGAACAGGAAGGGAGAGAGTGTACAAACATAGAAACATAGCAAAGGGGGAGAAAATGGTAGAAATGCAAAATTAATGACTCTTTACCTGTATTCATGTCATATTCAGCACAAAATAAATAGAGGTTAATGGACATGAACTTATAGCCGTTAGGGAGATATGACTACAAGAGATCAAAGGTAGGAACAAAATATTCAGGGCTATGTAAGTTTTTGAAAGGACAAGCAGGAAGGAAAAGTTATTGGGTAGTTTTGCTCTTATGGGATTAGGTAAGTATGATAGCAAGAAATGAT